TCCCCCAAATTTCTTAAGTGAAGTTTGCTTTTGTTTTGATTTCTTTTTCTAGCTTAGAATAAATTCGTGTTCCTAAACATTTCTAAGTTATTTTTAGTTTTGTTTCCATTTCTCTCCCAGCTTTATTGAGGAAGAATTTCTGCACAATGAAATTCACACATTTTAAGTGTAGATTTTGGTGAATTTTGGTAATTGGTTACAGTTGTGGAATGATTGCTACAATCAAGATATGGTTCTGACACCCTAAAAAGTATTGTCATGCTTCCCGGCCCATTGGCTATACACAGGCAACCACTGACCTGCTTGCTGTCATATAGTTTTATGTTTTTTAGAATTTCATATAGATGGAATCAGACATATCATGTATAATGTATAATCTTCTCTTTCACTCAATGTTTTTGAGATTCGTTCCCATTATTGCATGTATTACTATATTGTTCCATTTTTTTATTGAATCATATTTCATAATATGAGTAAACCACAATTTGTTTATCATGTGATGTGATGTGATTTATCATGTGATGGACAATTAGGATGTTTCCACTTTAGTCCTATACAAGTCTTTGTAAATACAGACTTTGCTTTCTCTTGGGTAAATACCTGAAAATATTTGTAATAAATGCATATATATTTAATATTAATACATTAGATTTTTCTGGAACAAAAAAAAGGAAAACAGAGAAGCATACAAAAAGGGAAAAAGCACAGAAGTTTGGGGGGGAGCTAGGCTGATGGCAACTGTAGACTAGGCAACAGTGAGACTCTGTCTCCCAAAAAGAAATAAAAAAGGGTTATAAAGTAAGTGTATACTTCATCCTAACTGCTTTTTAAACTTGATTAATAAAAAACAATTAATGCTTTAAAAGATAGTAATTTTTGCCAAGCAGATTAGAAAAGATAGAAAAAATAATATGATATAATTGCATTTAAAGAATCTGTTTTTACACTGCTTGTAATATATCCCATGTAGAGGGCAGCTGGGCAGTCATCTATTGAGGCTTAAAAGTTATTCATACCTTTTGACTTGGTATTTCTATTCTTGGAAATTTACCATAAAAAATAATCACAGAGGTACATAAAGATTTGCATAGTACAGGAAAGCTCACCAAAGCTTTATTTATCATAAAATATTAGAAACAACTAAAATATTTAGTTTTAGGAGGTGAATTATATAAAAGATGATAATTTTAATGAAGCAACTTTATTCAGCCATTAAAACATCCATTTTTGAAAAAAGTTGAAAAACTTGGAAAAATGTTTATATATAATATCAATATTGAGAAGGAGAGATACAGAAAATTTTCTAAGTGTCTATGTGTGTGTTTCTTATTCATATTGGCAGAAGGAAAAATGATACAGGAGATGTAACAAATTTTTAACAGTGATTGTACTTGAGTGGTAGATTATCAAGACTCTTGACTTAAAACATTTATTTTGTCCTTATATTTGAGCCTTGAACCTTTAAATGTACTCAAAGGAAAATAGAATACCTTTAGGAGGCCAGTGTGGAAAGAATGTAGTCTGATAAGGAAACAGGCTTAGGAGTGGACATCAGGTTACATAGGTGGACCTTAACAAATCACATATTTGGATATTTTAGTCATCAAAAAGGGTTTGGCCCAGCGCAGTGTCTCACACCTGTTATCCTAGCACACTGGGAGGTGTGGAAGAAGGATTACTGGAGATCTAGAGTTTAAGACCAGCCTGAGCAAGAATGAGACCCCTTCTCTACAAAAAATAGAAAAATTAGGTAGGCTGGTGATGTTCATGTGTAGTCCTACTTACTTGGGAAGCTGAGGCAGGAGGATCACTTGAACCTAGGAGTTTGAGGTTGCAGTGAGCTATGATGAGGCCACTATACTTTAG